TACGAGGGTGCCAACCGAATACGACAGCGACAAGCCAATTATACTATTGCGGTTATTCAGATACTGTAGAAGGGAGTATTATCGTTATTCGAAAGGGTTACGCCGTCAAAAATATGTCCTTCTGCCCAACGAGGATAAATTACTTGACCGATTTCGAGATCGTCTCTCCTGCGTCATTATCGGAATCCAGATCGATTTTTTTTCAACCAAAACCGAAAGTTGCTGACAGTCCCAATTTGCCTCGTGTCGGACTCAATAATCCATGAGTCCCCGCCGGCGCACGTGACCGTATTGACGAGTACATCTGTTTTCGATAAAAAAAAAATAGAAGAAAAGAAAGGACAGGAGAGTAGCGAGGCGAGAGCGGTTCGAAAAGGTCGTTGAGTCCTATAGAAAGTCGGCGAGAGGAGCCGCGACTTCGTAGACCTCGAAGTCCGGCGAGTTCGGAGCTGCGGGCTCCATTTAAATGGCCAGACGTTGCGCGGCGGGATCTCATTGTTCAGGGCCTTATTTCCAGGCTCGTCCGGGGCTGCGCTCGCGCTACCAGTCGGGCTGGTACCGCGCGTTCGCGTGAGCTCGCCGGCCCTATGGGAACACGCACACGAGAGAGGCAGGGGACAGGTGTGCTCCAAATAGCGCGTAAGCTGTCTCCAGGACGGTCCCCTTTGCCAAAAACCGAGCTCGCAAGCGCAACTTCGTGAATGCGCCTTTGATTGTGCTACCTTGGGCGGTTAGGGCCCGGCCCCTTCGCCCCGGTCCTCTTCCTTACGTCACCCGAGGCCCGTCAGGCCCTGTCACGAGACCGTGGCGGGGGGAAAAAAGTGCCACCTTTAAAGGTGCCCGGGGTCAATCCAATATAAATCAGAACGTCTCGAGGCGAGACGAGTGGAGGGGATCCCCGCGGGTACTTAGGTACTCGCCCCACCTCGGGCACCGAGGTTGGACCGTAGGTGAATAGGAGATTTCGGGAGCCGTGAGGGCTCCTTACACGCGAGCGCGTGTACGAGCGCCCGTGGCTCTCTTGAAAGGGAATCAGGTACGAGTCGGCCCTCACCTGCCCTCCCCTCTCCAGGCGACGGTGACCTCCACGCGAACGATTCGGTGTTTCTGCCCGGGGTACCACTCACCCCGCCCCCTCTTCACGTCGGGCTCGAGTCCTCGTGGTGGACTTACTCCCCGCGGGTGACGGGTGTCTCCCCTCGATTCTGGGATTCGCGAGGTTCCGGACAATGAACCCCGCTGACGTTGCGGAAACTCCTCGAGCTTCCTTCGGATCGCCCCAGATATCTCCGCCGCTTTGATTCGAGATGTTCGATCCGATAACGGACCGAGTGCAATCGTTGTTTAGGTCTTGCGTTACCTTCGGGGTTTCCATTCTGGAAGCGGCTCCCGCGTCTCGTATCGCGATTGCGGGAATACCTGTGGTATTGGCTCCATTGAAATAAATCGGGGATTCGATATTTCTCTTTGGGCAACAGCCTGTTGTTGCGTTCTCTTGGGTCCGATGGAGATTGGAATCTTAGGGGCGAATTTTTTGTAACTAGATTCCTTGAGCGGATTTCGAAATTTATACCGATCTGGGTAGCGTATCCATGGCAAGCCAGTCTTCTCTTTTTTCATTTAATGTCGTTAAATCTTGACGATCAGGGTCATGAACCTTAAACTCCTCTTGAAATCTAAAATTCATTCCGTGCCTTTCCACGGATTACGTGACTTACAGCGGTCACTGTAACGAACACTACCCCCCAGAATTCATTTTCTGTTGCCGTAGTCCGGTATTCTATACTTTGTAGTTTGCGAAGAAATTCTGTTCGGTAACAAACGACTAAGTCATTGTCGTGCTCAGGCGTTAATTTGCGGATATTGACCCTGTTGCAATATCGAAAGGTCAATTCCTTCGTAGCGAAATGGCACGGGTAACTACGATGTTTGCTCTGCCGCAGAGCCCATAGGATTATATGATTATCCATGGAATATACTCCTTACCTCTCCCTCCCTTCATGGAGACCCGAACACCAGTAAAAAAATCCCCTCTCTTCAGAAATCCCTAAAGGCAGCACGTGGCTCCCATACATTTCATAATTCTCAAAGGCCGAAATTACGAGTCCTATACCGCGCGAAACTCCCTTCGGGCCCCTTCGGAACATTTCGGATACTTTGTTCGCCAGGACCTGGCAGAGTAGTTCGGTCCGATAACGAACAAAGTTATTGTGTGGATCTTACATTACCTTTGGGGTCCTTGACCATTCTTGATGCGGTTTTCACTCCCGTATCGAGATCGCGTGAGTGCTTGCGGCACCCAAGGAGCTGTATTCAGGTCGATTCACGACCTCCTCCGACCGAGGTCGCGATGCATGTCGACGTAAGCGATTATACCTGGGTAAATGAACCATTATATCCAAGCAGCCCGAAGAGCCCTATTGATACAGAAATCTCAAATTTAAATACCCATTTAAATTAACCCGCGCACGACCCACGTGCGCCTGCCCGCACGCTACCTGGCCCATTGTCGCCTGCCGCGCATTTTATTACAATAATTTATTATCCGCTTTCGGTTATGTAAATTAAAACCGAACCATAAGGGACGGCCGGTGGTCACCCATCCATAGGTTTTCGTTGATATTCGGAGAAGCGAACCCACCTAAGGTGGCACGTGGCGGCCGTCTCGAAGAAGACAACCGCCGACCCAGGAAACGTGCGTCTCGGAGAGACGTTACAAGCTTCGCGTCCAGATCGTCAGATAGCGCGCGGTCTCGGCGCCAGTTCGACCTCGATTAACGAGCGGGTCTCTTCCTCCTTCCTTGTTCCTTCCTCCTTGCTCGCCTTGCCCTTTCCTCCTTATTTATCTTGGAGACTTCGACAGCGCGTTCGCTTTTGACCAGATGGGCTTAATTCCGTGTAAGAGTTCCCGCCATATGGGAAGGTGGCCGTTTGTCGTTGGTACGCATGCGCGCAAGTCACAATACGTAAAGACGACGCGCAAGAAAGAGACGGGCCGACGAGCGCGAGCGGCATGGCAACAGCCTGTATGCAAATGAATGCATTTTTATCCCTTGGCACAATGCAATGAGCCCCCCGACGAACCGTTAAAAGTTAAAACCTGCTGCCGTGAATGCGTTTCTTGCCTTGACAGACATTTCGTGGCTGGCCGGCTGCTCGCGAGCTCGACGGCTCGCCCGGGCCGCGAGATAGCTAGTTCGAATTTCCCGCTCCGGCGACCACCCTTATGTTGCGCGCGCAGGCTTATAGCTCTGGAAGTATACCCAATTCGTCGGTCGAGATTGATCTCTCGTTACTAAATCGTTTTATTAAACAAGAGGGCGATTATCGTACTTCTGGAGAAAAGTGAGTTATTTAAAAGAAATGAGAAAAACCTAACTCGAATTGGTTTGAGTTGTTATATTAATATCATTCCAACGTTGAAATTGGCTTTAAGATGTGAAAATATATCTTACCTACTTCTGCAACAATCTTAAACTGAAATAGTTAATTCCTAATGAGAACAGCGTATCTCCTCATAACTGCGAAATCATATGTCGAAAGGAAGCATTGCGTAACATGTGGCTCGTTTGCGTAAATGTACATTGTAATGACGCGGTAACGAAGTACCGTCCCTCGTGCCACACCTGGTATGTCAACGAAAGATATTGATATTCTTTCCCAGTAATTGGTTTAGAACGGAAATGTAAAGGGCTGGTGGGTCAGCCGGGTTTCGAGCTTTCGGCGTTTCCTTTGGACAGTCTTTGAGAACACGGGAACGGCGGTCTGATCTTCTTTAAAAGCCTACTAACAATTCGAACAACGATTGCCACTTTCGACTGAGGGTAGGCCGGCGAGGAAGTGTTAATTTGGGAAAAATGGGCTCAGGTGCACGAGTTTCACCTGTTTGGTTGTTCCCCGTATGCCGCGACAGGTGCGGTTTTGCGCAGCGAGAGTTCTTCCTGTCTAGCGTCCCACGGCGAGCAATTATCTCCGAGGAACGTCCAGAGTAAACCACGTACTAGCCGCTCAGGCAATTCAATTTGCGATTCATTAATATTTTAATATCAATTTAAAAGAACAAGCTCAACCTCATAGCGACCATGTTCCACGGTTTACCGGCATCGTTGCGGTTCCTCTTCGCGAAGTAACTCCACGCCGCGTGCTCAATTTTTTACGGGACATTCTCTAAAAAGTTTTTCACGGGAAGCATTATCCGTCCACTCGTGGGACCCTTCCTTATAAACCCACAGCTAGTACTTAAGCAATTTACCCATTAAAACCATTGACAGATGTCCCAGTGGTAGATCGATAGGTGAACGTCTCAACTCGTTTTTTACCGGTAAAAGAAGACAAACGTCGTTTCGCAGGAAGGATGTCGTTTACTGCCACCACTTCCGTCGTCGAAGCGTCACCAGTTATTATCTTTTCAGTACGTGACAAAATTACATAGTTCTCACCTGCAGATGAATGAAAACATTCAAACCTAGAAGTACTTACCTGTCGCTTTTACACTTATATGTGCCGATAGCTATCCAATAATGTATTATTTACTGAGCCTGGGCTTTCTGTCCCTCTGGGTATTACGTATAGCGTAAACAATAAAGGTTGGCATACAACTACGTATAAAATATCCACGAGGTTGAAAAGACGTGATTATGTACAATTTTATGTACCTCGGGGACCCTTATCTAAAGAATCTCCGCTGTATTAACATCAATAGTATCGAAGATATACATCAAGCTGGCATCACGTAATCAGGCTATCTCGAGTATTGCTCTTTATTTCACTCTCCCGTGCTTCGCAGCGGGAATGCTTCAATATGCTGACAATAGTCCTGTAATATCGTAACGTGTAATCATCCTATTAAAAAAGTCACCCTTGCGATTAACGTACAAAGCGGTACGCAGACACGCCCAGTTGCGATACCCCTAAAGTCGAGCCAATACCTGTTACTCTTACCACTTTCACCTCGACATGGGGTTCGATTCATATCAACTTGACTTTCTATCCTTTAAGAGATGCTGAAGTGGACGGTTTCAAGATCGTTATCTACGGCCAGCTCGACCCCCCATGGACCGCCCACGCAGAACAAAGCCTCCCGCAGACCCTTTCGAGACCTGTCCAACACGCCGCCGGCAACTCCGGGTTCTTCGAGGTCTAGAGCGACCCAAGGGACCAATGACACGGCTACTCGGCAAAACGTGCGCAGAAGAAGATGTAGGAGTCACGGAAGTGATCTGAGGGCCTATTTTCAGGCAAGTCATGCCTTTTCCCTGCAAAAATGTCGTTCTTCTAGGGCAACGTCATGAAATTGAAAAAAAAAGCTGGTTTCACCTGAAACACCAAAATTTATTATTACATTGTTACATACATTACATTATTACATATATACAAAATATATTTTTACATTAAGCGAAAAATTGACTTTTCAAGCGGGCTTAATTATTTACGGTTATCTAAACGTTTCTTGCTAACAAAATTTGTTGGCTCCAGTAAAATTAATGTTGTACATGTCACTAGTGCTGCAAACCAAGCGATGGCAGGTTAATATCAAGTGGTAATAATTTTGCAAATAGAATGTCATGTACAAAATTGGTCTCATGTATTGAAAATATTTATGAAAAGTTATATCACGTTTTGGACAGAGTATTATATTGAACTCAAATAACTTCGTAATTGATATAAAAAATTATTGACGGTGAATGAATATCGTTTAGAGTTGATGCAAGACCGAATTCCCCGGTAACTGTTTGAGATTCGCCGAGAGGTTTGAGAAAAAGCATTCGACATCCTGGTAGTTCTATTAAATTCTAGTTTAATACAAGAATATTATTACTTCGTTCAAGATCTTTCACTCTTTCAATTGAATCAACTTTTCATTCTAACATATTTATGCACAGAAATTATAATAATGGGTCCAATAGACTTGATGAAGCTGAGCTAAAGAAAATTGAGTATTGTTTACAGTTTATTTTAACATCATTTGATCTTATTTTGTCGATAGTAGCTAGTAAAGATTTATTTAATACAAGAATTTCTCTTTTGCAGAAAATTATTTTTTCGCTCAGTGTAGAGGGTTCCATTTAAAGAAACTCTTTTGTTTTAAGCTGTGAGGGTATAACTGCGATAAAAGAGGAAAAAGTCCCTCCTGGTCCGTTGGTTTTAAGAGGTCGATCGTTTTCTAAACGGTGGGAAAGTCCCGTGAACAAATTAGGAATGCACGCCGCATTTGCTTTAGTCCAGAGAAATTTACATGACAGTTGCGAACAAGAAATTAACATGCTTCGAATCCGGAGTCCTCAGCCGCTCCGATGTGTAAGTTTCGGATTACCGTAACTTTCTACAGAGGAGCTGGTTTATAATTCATTTTCTTATAATTGTCATGCAAATCTCACAGGGAATAAATGAATGCGGCCCGCATTCCCGTTACTACCCTAGAAATCGCTCACTGTTTAGGCAACTATCGCCCTTTTGTAAGTACATCCAAAGATGAAAAGGCATTCGTTTGATTTACATCTTCATTTTATCAACCGTCCTCCTCTTGAAACCAGGCACCATACATGGAGAACTCATCTTCGTTCGATGTTACACCTGGCAGATTTATAAGATAAAACGCTGTTTCGTACAGGTAACGAAGCCGACATTGAGGTCATTGAAGAGGCAGTCGACGTCTCAGGAGGTTCAGAAATCTCCAAGGTCGGAGAGCTTTTACCAGAGCACTCCTCGAGTGGACGCTGACATAGGACCATTTACTTTGTTACCGACCGTGGCAGTATCCAAATGCTCGGCGGCCTTGACTCTTCCTTCGGATCCTACTCTGATAAGGACTGCGAAAACGTTCCAGGGCAATGGAGAACTGCCACAAAACATTGTTAACGAAGCACGCGCTAATCTGCAGTCCCACGTGTCGGACTTCTTTCAACAAATCTCTCTAGCCGGCAGCCCTGAAGACGTTATGGAGGCAGATTCCGTGCCCTTGACAAAAACGAGGCTCTTCGCTCAAAATTGCGAGACCGCCAAGATGAAGCACGCTGCGGAATGCTCCAAATCTCCCTGCGTACCGAAACTGGCAAAAATCGCAAAACTCCATGCCCGATGTAAGACGCCTTACCACACCAAAGTACTTCAAGGTCGTAGCCCGTTCAAGGCCAAGGACTTACAGCAGACTCCTCTTCTCGGCAAGCTATCGCTTCTCAGGATAGACCACGACTTGCCCAATTTCGAGAATATGGATAACACGGTGACGGAAGTTCTGCATAGGTAATTCTAAAATTTTAAAAGAAAGTGTTATTTACATTATCTTTAGAATGTCTCATGCCAGGTAATTTAATTTTAAAGTCCATGATTTTTCCTTTCTCTTGGACGTTAACGATTAAAATGTAGAATGTCGGTAACAAGTTTTCGCGGGGATTTTCCTTTTCAGAGAACAGGAAGCGAATTACGGACAATCAGTTGCGGAGATCTTACTGAGAGATCCTGACGAACGACGGAAAATAGTAGAAACATCGACGGCCACGTCTACGGAACCCGACTTACCGAGTACCTCGACCAAGGAAACGAACATCAAGGGTATCGAGACCAGTGAATGCCCCAGTGAAATCAACGAACAACCCACTGAAACCGATGATCATTCCGCGGAAACTGTTGAAGAGGAGAAAATAGACACGGAAGAGAGAAACAAAAGCAACGACAGCACGGTGTCTTCGGCAAGTCAGCTGCTCGAGGATCCTTCGCCCATGTCTTGGGCCTTTAGATCTCCGACGAATGACTTTGACGACAATTTTACCCTGAAGAGACAACGAGGGATACGAAGGAAACGTCATCAAAAGGGAGAGACTAACGGAGGACCAGCTTCCAAGAGTAAACGAATAAAAAAGAGATCGATAAGCCTGAGCCCGCCCAGGAGCAAAACCCTTGACGAGGCGGATACTATAATCGAGGCAGTAAACTTACACGTAAAAAAATTCACTCTAGAAACCGATCTCGACGAGGTCTTGGCAACCGGAAGTCCAGCAATTTCACAAATGCCTTTCTGTGCAAACTCGGAATGCCCTAAGGAGGAAGATGTTTGTCACAAAACCAGCATTTGGAACTCCGCAAGCCCGAAGTCGTTTTTAACGGAAGACTTGCAAAGCTCCAAATCCTTTCTCACATCCGTGTCGGATACTCCGGAAGCTCCGCTTGTAGCAACGGTCAGAAGATGTTTGAAATACAGTCCGGAGAATACGCTTCCACAATTCAACCAGTCCCAAACGCGAGGATCCATCGAGATAGAAGTTTCATTAATGAAAGATCATATTCATGTGCGAGGTAAGATTTACCTCCCCGGTTTCGTTCTGTAACATAAGCAGCTTTTTTTACCTATCTATCTAGCTCTATCTAGCTTTAAGTAGTCTTATATAAAAAATTATTAATCGGGAGAAAATATGCATAGATACAAAATGTATGCGACTAGGCCCCACTTCTAGGAACTTTGCGAATCCGAAAAAGTGTCCTTCAGACATTCTCGCGTCAACCACTGTAATTTGCATACATAAGCTAAAAGCAACTTCGCTTTTTCGAACAAGTTAAATGATTTTACATCCATTACAAACATTTTAATTAACCGAATTAAATTAATTCGACGTGCGACATCGTTTCAGTATTAATGTCAAAAAATTACAGTTGCTGGTCACGAAATTTAAGTTTTACAACCCTTAATTGTCGACGAAGATCACCGTTATTACGAAGTAAAAGATTAGCGTGTCAGATAACGATCCTTCCGATAGGGTGCAATTACGTTTCAATTTGATAAGTAGCGAATGACTTAATAGCAATTCAGATAACACGAAAATTGTGATTTACATTGACAAATGCTTCGTTCTTGTATCAAAATATCCCCAAATTGTAGTGTACCCACTTAGTCAGATCCTCCGGTTTCCGAGTCAAGGATGCGCCCGCGAGTGGTACGTCCCTGGCCGTCCTGCGCAAGCGTGCGCCAGTTATTTCCCCGAGCTTGTACTAGGCACCCTGAAAAATCGTGTTCCAGTAACCCACCGACCCTCCGCTGGCATTTCGATTGCGGTTAGTAGACCTAACAGCATTGATTCATAGCACGGCGCTATCCTGCGCACGTAAACAAGGCAGGATAGGCCGGTCGCGACCCTGCTCGTGTCCAGTATTCCTTCCTTTTTCCTTCAGTTGCGTATATGACTTGTGGAATACATACCTTTATTCGTCCCGGTTTCCGCGCATTGTGTTATTTCAAGTGAGATTTCCAGGGAATGCAAAATCATTCCGAATTATTAAGAAAGAAAGCCCCCTTCTTTTTTCACGCTCCATCATCAGCCGGACAGTTGTTTGCATTTCTAATAGGCCTTTGGGATTTCCAAGCAGGGCCTCCACGCGTATTGTAGCATCACGCACACCACGTATAAGATACGACGAATAGTAATCTTGCTAGTAGAAAATTTTCGCGAGAATAATCATAGAGATAGAATAATTACCTAGCATCACGGTCGCAAGCCATGGGAAAGCATAAGTTTTGCCGTTACATGACAGGTTGTAATAACAATTTGTTCCTCGCGTGTGTAACGAGCAGTAATACGGTGCAAGGACTTAAAAAGGACGTATGAGGGACCCGTACACGCCTACGTGAAGGCAAGCCTGAAGAACCCGAACGGCGAGGGGGTCGTTAAAAGGACTGCCGTTCACCGGGCCACCCCAAGCCCCGTCTTCAACGAGACCTTGGTACTACCCTGTCCTACCAACAACAATAATTGCTCGAGCAAGGCTACGTCCGTGGACATCGCTGTCTGGCACCGGGATCGACGAGCGAGGTGAGAACTCGTCCGTACACCTTAGAGACCGAAAATCGGCGACCAGCCGCGGGATCGATCGATCCTCGACCCTGTAACGCTTACGTGTCTGGTACAGGGGGTGCAATTACGTGCACGATCGTGTGCGTGATCCCGTTGGCAAGTTCACTGAAATTATAACACATTCCGAGCAACATCGATTCCCTGGGGTCACCAGGTCAGGATTCGAGCCTCGCGTGAATTCCAATAATTTCGTAACCGCTATCCAATCGAAAGAATCGAACTCTATTCGACGCGGCTCGTTTCCGGCTTGACATGTTAACTAGCATGTCTTGGTGTTTGTGTCCAAATGTTAGTCTACGTATTGTTGGGCCGAGAGGCTGGTGAACTTTTCCGGTTAGTTTTTACTTTTTTTTTTTTTTCACTTTGAAAGGGGACTTCTTGCTCCTATTTCAGTGCCGAGCGTGGGTTTTTTGCCAAAGTCTAAAAAATCTGGGAACCGGAGGGTTGCTGCGGTAGGAGGGGAATCGATTCCTCTGACGCACGCGCACCTCCCCTACCACGTGCACCTCTACTCATCCTCGCACGGCCTACGGGGCTGCATAGTCTCGGTCTCTCTTTGCCTCTGCCCGCTTACGTATACATGCGCGAATGCTTACATATGTATGTACGCTAGTCGAGTAAATTAATTTACGTGCAATCGCTCACCCTGTGTTGCAGGCGCAGCGAGCTCCTCGGCTGTATGACTCTACCCCTGCCTCTGTCCCAAGACAAGGTAAATACAGTTTTTCATTAACATTGCTCAAAATGGACATTTCCACTGATTAGTCAGTCTTCTCGATAGACGGCTATGTACGATTTTCTTTTTTTTAACTTGGATTCGTCGATATATCGGTAGTTGATACGGTTGTACAAAGTGAACCGTTTAGCCAGATCGTCTGCAACTTAAGTCCGTGATCCTCTTTCGGTGAATTAACGTCAAAGTGTTGACGAGCGACTCGAAGCGAAACGGTCTTCAAAAAGCTAGTCGCGGATTTATCGGATCAATTGGCGAGTCACGTGGATTCGTTAAATTTATGTATCGGTAAGTCTTCCGCTTAAGGTCAGGGCTAATGGGATTACCGTGGAGGCAAGCAGCTTGTCGCGATTCGCTTGCACTTGGCACTTGACCGTCAAATATCGGAGTGAACGCTGTGATCGAGACTGACCTAAACATGATCGTGGTTGCGATTTATTGCGTGGCCTTCTTCGTTGCCGGACTTCTCCTAAAGATTTTCACGTTCTGCTGATATCCGCGCGCCTCATGCCCGTCACGTTGTTCCTCGGTCCTGACCTACAATCACCTGTTAAAAGATGGCAGCATAACTATTTTCCAATTTTGGTACCGTTGGCCCAGATATATTTACTTCAGTGTGAAGAACGCGCTCACGAGATTAATCGGTGTTTCGTTCCCAGGAGGCGACATGGCATCCCCTGGAAGCTGGATCGGGAAGAAACGCGAATACCCCGTATACCGGAGTTTCGCAGGATTGCGCGGTCTCGCCACCCTTATCAAAGGAAGGCGAACCAGATAACGTTCAGTCTGGTGGCGATGATCTAACTTACCTAAGACATCTGGAACTGGAGCCTATAGATCCTTCGACTGGCTTACCGTTGCATCCTGGATTTACCGCACGGGGTGGTAGAACGCCATGTACCATCACTAGAAGATTGATACGACAAAGTGCTCTTGAGCAGGTACGCGTTCCTTACCTTCCAGAGATTCATTTTGACACAATTATGAATTTTAATTAAAATAAAAGAATCTACGGACTTAATTACTTTACAGGTGCCATGGGGTTTTTCGTTATCCTGGGGAAGACCTCCACGGGTGGAACGAGTCGATCCTGGAAGCCCGGCAGAAAGAGCCGGTCTCAGACCTGGCGATCACGTTGTCTTCGTGGATGCGACCAATATAGTGACACGTCCTCGAGACGAAATCCTCGGCCTCATTCAAGCAGCAACTAATCAACTGATTCTCGAGGTTTATCGCAAAGGTGGTATCGGCCACGGAGGACACAGGCCTAGTGTTGTGAATGTCACTCTTCAACCGACGACATCCAACAGCCAACACACCGTTGCGTTCAGCGCCGAGGTCGGTACGGGAGTCTTGGTATAAAAGCACGAGTTCATCCTGCTAAGAATGCGAATTTAGATACATCGATCATCTGTACTAATCGGAACGGCGATTTACGTCACAGTCCATTTGCAGGCATGAAAATGTCGCGTATACATGATTATTATGTATATGTGTATGGTTACCTAGTTGTATACGTAGTGCCTGGCACGTAGTCGAATGAAAACTGTGTTAATTTAAGTTATTTGACCTTATGTTTATTTGTAACACGTTTTACGCGTTGACCAGAGCTTATTTTACTTTTTGACCAGCTACTGTATCGAGTACCGTAGTTCTCAATAACGGCGTCGTAATTGCAGTTGTATGTTTTGTTAGGAGCGATAATTGCAAGCAAGTCGTTATTGCAAGCTACGATATTCTGTACATTTTCTCGGCTCCACCGAAGTAACGTGTACTTACGCGATTGCACGCGATACAGCGAGCGTTCGGTTGCGAAAACGAGGTAACGGATAACGTCTTGTATTTTATTCCTTTTGTTAAGAAGTTTTGTTTCTAATCCAATTCGTGTATGATTGATTTATTCCTTCTCCACCATCGCTTTAATTTTAAGTCCTTATGCATTTATCACGGTGTTCCGTTAGCCTCCTTCAGAAGACCGTTCTTGATCGGCGGTTCACCCAGAGCAAATGCCGTTGGCCACGGATAATCGTTATATATCAAAAGTCCCCTAAACGTTTTAAAGCATTATCTATCATCTCGAAACTTTTCGATCGTCGCAACACCGACTAGCGATAACAAAAACGTGAAATTTGTATAAAGTTCACCAACGACTTGCTCGTCCACCTGGTCAGGTGTTCCCGAGCCTAGCACCCGACGCGCCTCCTGACGAGGAACTGTCCGTCAGAGAAACTCGTTATTGGAGCACCCTGAAGAGCGGTCAGTCTCTTTTCCTCCTTCCCTTGGCGGAGCGTCGAGATGTCTTGTCCGCAACCGACCACATGATTCTCTTCCAAAATTTGGAAGAGCTGCTGAAGATCTCCGAAGATATCAGGGACGAGGGCGGAGGCGCCGAAAGTTATCTCTGCAGGATCCCCAAGATTACTGCGGCCTACAGGCGATATTTGAGCGGCCTACAACGGGCCTGTTGTCTTCTCGTAGCACTCCGCAGGAACTCGCAGTTCGCTAAATTGGTCTGCGAACCTGCCGTACCTCAGAAGCGTCGACCCGACCTCACCGGAATTTTACTACTACCATTGGAACACTATAGGTGCGCCAAGACACGTCCCTTTGCCAAGGCAAACTGTATGGAGTGCGCGTTACATTCCGCAACGTCGTCTTCTACACGCTGCAAATCGCTTTCAGCCAGCATGAACGGAGTCGTTTGCAATGTATAAAAGCAAAGACCGCTGAATGCAACACTGCATTTCTTACAGTGCACAGGCGTCTGTAAAGGGATTTGCATTGAAAAGAAGGGAACCTACTTTCCAGAGAGATGACCAGGTTACTGGGATTGATCGCTCCGAGGAATTGTCAACAGACAAGGGACTTGGCTCAGGGATACCGGGAGGCCACCGCCAACGCGGGAGTTATGGAACCACCGCGCGACACCGGAAGACCACTTCTCAGTTTGCAGGAAGTAGAATCGCGACTGGTCTTTGCACGGTGTAAACCTTTTACCTTAGTTATGCCTGGAAGGCAATGGTAAGCAGGTGTCGTTAATTCGCGTATCAGGTTTTCGTTTATTTCCTGCCTATTTTTTTATAAACTGGATAAAAATCCACCCACCAAATACAGTTACCTAACAAACGATACAACCGTGACATATGGCTTTGTAGCCCATAATGTACCTTACGCGTTACATGTACATAAAATGTATATTATTATTTCCCATTATGGTTACATTATTTTTATATAACTACAATGCTAACAGATTTGTAACAATGTTACGGAACGGTAATACTTCGATTATATACAATATCAATATATCTTCTAAATAACTTTCGTGATATATTATGCTACTCCAATGTTATGTGACTGTAACATAGTGTGCTTGGTGGACAGGGAATTGACTGAAATCTATATAAAAAAAAAATGTTTAATCAGAATAGACACCTAGCATTGCATCTTTATATTCTTCCGACTTCTTGCATTTTCCAATCCGCCAAAAAGGTATTCGACGGTTATCTCGTTGATTCTTTGACAAGAGAATTTTGTAGGCTCAACGGCACACGTTGTTGCAGGCTCTTTGGTGGTGCTTTGGCAAAGGTTGAAGGTCGCGCACGTCTGCAGCCATCGTGGGCTCTATTGTTGACGGATCTACTGGTATTCGCCCGAGTCTCCAGGGATCGCGTGCTCTTTGTTACCGAAGAACCGCTTCGTCTGTCGAGCATCGCCGAAGCTTGTTTCACGGTCAGAAAGAGACCCACGGAATTCCGCCTGCAAGTGGCCATTACGCCAAACGGTTCCGAGAACGAGAACGCGGATTCCGGAAGCGGAGGCGGTGGTTGCAGCCCCCACGGTCGACCACGACGTCGAGTTCTGGTCTTGAGAGCACCTAGTCCTGAATTAAAAGCAGTGTGGCATAACCTCCTTCAACGTCAGATGTAAGTACCGCTTCGTCTTCCTGGACGGGCCTCGATCACTGTACTAATTCGTTGTATTTTAGAATCTATGTCAATACAGGCTATGGGGGCATGTCGAACCTCGACAGTCCACCGGAAAGTCCCGTCGCGGCTGGCAGTAACGTCACGACCGTACGAGACTCTTCGTCGAGTCAACAGGTAACTATTATGTCTTTCTCCACCCTTGTGATAATGCATCTATTGAACGATATTGTATAAATGGAACAAAATTTCAATTCCATTCGTAGTTTCGGTGAACTGGATACATGAAACGGATCGTAAGCTATAGATGGACAGGTGCGAATGCACTTTTCATTAGCGTGTACCAGACTGCATTCACATATAGTTGTTAGTTTATTTAATCTGTCCCCTGTCTGTTCCCTGTGATTGTATATTCTTGGCAGTTTATTTCATTTGTTTCCAGTCGATTTTTGTTAGATTAATCCCCACTTCGGCAGGGAGATATCTCTTTGTTGATGGTTTCGATATTTTTCAGTACCCCCGCGTTTCCTGGCGTTCGGCCTGCAAAATATTTTTTAATTCCTGAAAACCAATGAATATTGATTACTGGGTTCATTGTGGAACGATTGTCGGATCTCAGAGTACAATTGAAGGGTCATTGCACAGGTATCGCGAGAAACGAGGCAAGCCGATGAAGAAAAGGCAAACTCCGGAGAGAGCTTGGAGACCATCCTGAAGAACTCGACGCCGGAAAACAATCACTTGGCCCAGTGGGTCCGGAACTCCCATCAAATTCCACCACCGGATTACGAGGGGCCTCTGGAGGAATGGACCCCGGAGGAGCTGGCGGCCAGGGCACCTAGGGAAAATACATCGAGGCAAATTCAAGACACTCTGAACGAAGAGTCAGCGACCATTAATTCGGACGTGGAACAACGCAGCACGACATCCAGTGCGAGCCTCAGCACCGTTAAATCGACCAGTCTTTCGAATAAGAGAAATGGTAGTTATGTTACTTCCAAAGACGGTTCCACGGGGTCTATAAATATCTGCAGGAGATGTCATAGGTGAATACGAATACATTTATAACGTGACATACGCGAGTCCTTCGATTTGCCCGCAACGTACACGACTTAAGACTTAGGATTGGCAATTCGTCTCCGAGCAAATGATTTATTTATTCCAACGATAGATTGAAAAGATAATCTTTATATTTTCCCATTTAATGATAATGAATCTATTCTCGGAATGAATTGGTTTCAAAGTAAATCAGAGAGGAATTGGCGAATCCTTAAGATACTCTGCTCGAACCAAATATAAAGATTACTGCTGCAGGTCAGGTTGCCCCACACCACCGCTCCCAAGAGACCCCTTCTCACCTTTGCCTCCCAAAATATCGGTCGTTCCTCCAACCCCGGATTTGTGTACAAGGCACAGACTACGGAATGGTCTACAAGATAGTCCTGGACGCAATAGTCCAAACTGCACACCTGCCGATGGGAATACGGAAGATGGCAGCGAGGATGATTTGGATTGCGATGGCGAGCCTCCATATAGGTATTCAACATTTTACGTCACTTTGTCTTGAGATTGTAAATATCGTTACAATAGTTATTACGTATACGCGGGGAGATTTTGAGAAGGAATCTCGCTCTTGCAGAGCTCTGCGTAGGTTCGGCACAATGAGCAGCTTGGATCAGGACGATGAGTTGGATGATCAAGCAGACGAAGAGCACCATGACTTAGAATCTCCACCTTCCGGCTTAAGAGCGTGGACGATGAAAGCCAGCAGTTACGTAGTTAGTAAGATGGTTCTTCTGGAACAACTCAGCGAAGGAGTCGGAGGTTACCTCCTACAACCTCCCGTACCTCCAGAGAGGACAGAATTCTCCCTCGATCCAAATGACGAAGAGGGTACCACATCAGGAGCAACGTCGGGTGACGATATTTGGGGTACTCCCACATCCGGAGGTCCGGATGACGAGAGTTTTACCACGAGCCCAGTAAGGTTCCATCTTTCGTATTCATTCGCATTTTCTCGGAGGTACAACGTGCGATAGAATCCATGATTTTTGCGACAATTTTCGAAATTTCGCACTTTTGCCTAATCTGATAAAATTTATCGGTAACGGTAAAGTAAGATCACAGTAAATACAATAAACGACAATCCTATCCCTTGGTTGAATAAATCACGGGTAGCATTATCGCGTGATAGTTATATCGGCTTCAATCTTGCATATATGAGTTATTTCATCGACGCTGTGATAGTTTCCTAAGTTTTTCAAAATCATGTCAATGCATGCATAGAAGATGATTCCTCTGAAAAGAAAATCGTCCAATGATTATCATACTGGAAATATTGGTATACGATAATTAGTTCTTCAATGTCCAATTATAAAAGCCAACTTCAGCCTATCTCGTTAAACAAGTTTAGCATGTCGCAACGCGTACCTTCGATGATGGTAAAGAGTACTTAATGCAACTAGCTTATAAGCTTCGCACGCCTTTGCATGACCTTGCTTGCCCTTTTTTTTTGCAAAGAATCACTAGCCCGAGCTGTGCCTGACTTCCCTAGCCGCCGTCCAATGGAACTGGCAATACAGGTGCCTCCGGGGAGGAGAACTACGGCCTTAGTCTGAATGCAGAAGACGACGGCGATCCAGGATCTGACGAAGACTGCACGCTCAACATGGATCAGCTGCTCGGCATGGGAACGGTCACAACTTTGCGCAGTTTCGTTGGTAGACGGAGGCTGGAACCCCTTCCCGAGGAGGAAGATTCTCCTGGAAGCGGTAAGCACCAAGTGGGATGGTGGTGACAGAGGTTTCAGCCGGCGGCTGGAAGAGACGACGACTATGCACACGAGAGCGCCGACAGGGAACGCGTCTTCGCCAAATTGAGCCAGGAGGACGAAGAGTTCCGCAAGAAGATCTTGGACCTGCACAGGAAGCTATCCGGAGTTGACGAAGGCAGCAGTGACGGGTTCAGGTCACCAAGTCTGCAGAGCGTCCCTCGAAATGACTCCGATGGATTGGATCCTGCCATAGAGGAGACGAGCAGTCCGTCCGAAAGCGTTCTGAAAAAACCCATGGAGGCTGAACACAAGCGGCACAGAGATCGAGAGAGCCGGCAAGAACTTAACATTAAGCGAAGGGAGAGAACCCTAGATTTACTTCGGAAAAGATCGAAAGGACTAGAGGATATATCGGAAGATGATGCACAAAATATGGATCGTATCGGTACGTCCGACACGAATTTCTTGGATCGATTGAAAATCAGACGACGTGGCATAAAGCTTTTCAACTTCCTCAGTGGCAAAACAGGTGACAAATCGCAAGAGGAACGGGCTACCAAATTCTTGAGAATATATATGCCGAAAGAGAAAGGATCCAAGGCGCAAAACACAATCTCTATACATCGTACGTCCAGAGATAGAAGGTTTTGGAAACTTAGAAGCCGCAGAAGATCTAGTTCTACATGAAACGTTAACGATATACAAGCGAAATGTTGGGTCGATGAACGTTATTAAAATCACTGTCTCTCCATTTCTAGGACTTCCATGATGTGCTCGTTATCGAAGTTTTCTGAATTCAACTCGAAAATTATACACCATTAAAAAACGTTGTTTTTCTTAGAAGGTAGAACGCTGAAAGTGCAAAACTAGAGTAACGAGAAACGTAGGTAAACATTCTAGTCTTTTTGAAAGTGTCTTCGAAGTAAGTGATTTTATTGTTATCTAATGAGAACAATTAGACAGAGTGCACAATTTCGGCACGCCCGAGCATTATGCTCTTGGCCATAGAGGGCTTTAATAAATCCGTGGAGAGTATTCTTTTGGCGACCCCAACACGGCCTAGAAATACATTTTGAAAATACTAAAATCTTTGTTTGCTCATCGAACATACTCGCACCAAAATGAAAAATTTCATTACGATCGATCAAGTTAGTTTCATGCCATCGTACTTCACTAGGTCCGCACGACTGACCCAACGCGGCACGAACTTTCCTCGAACTCTGATCGACTGAAATACAGCCATGAAATTTGAAGATTTAATTTCAATTTTACCATTACTGTTGGTAGTTTGTAAAATAGTCCTATGGTTAAATATACTATACAAATAAAATATATTCTTTGTTCAAACAGTTTAATAGAATATCATTTTGAAACCTTAATAACTTTATCCCTACCCTCAGAAGAGAAAGATAGGAAAAAATCAACACGAGTCTTAAATATGATTTATTCCTACTAAAATATCAATTACTTCCTTATATTTAAAATGGGTTGAGCCATTTAAGTCGTAGATCTCTACAAACTGTTTCTCGATCTAATCTTTTTGGATTTTGCTGGAATTCTTCTGTTGCTTGGATGCGTTTAGGATCTATTTTTTGCGTTACTATTAGATCCCCATTCTCGTGGAGGTAACAAGTCTTTGAGTTTTCATCCTTTGGCAATCCATTTGGAAATTGTATTGGAGTAATCTTAATAAGATGTTTAATTTTCCAAAGTAAAGCATTTACTTCCGGAATATTTTTGACAATGGTAATATCATTATTCTGCAATAATTCTTGATTAGTTAAACACATACATAACTCAAGGTAATTAATCATTTCCAGACTCACTTTCTCATGTAGTCCAAATATTTCCAAGATGCGTTTGTCCCAACGTGGGTTACCTTTGAAAGGTTTAACTCTCTGCACCATAAATAATTTTGACGGTTCAATTGGTGGATCTTTGAGGTCGGCATGTCTACAATTATGGACATTAAATAACATACAATAAAAATAACCGCAAAAATCTCAACATAACTTCACTTACCTAGGATAGTAGGTTATTCTATCGTATTTGACACCATCAGTAAAAGGCTTGTTCTTTGCTTTCGTTGCATAAGCACGAGAAATGTTATACAGTATTTGTACACAATTTGACATATCCACGATTTTTATTGATTCTATTGTTTGATATACAATCGAAATAAATATGTCTTTAAAATCGGATCAGATATCAACAGTAATAACTGGTTGAACCATGGACGAAAGAATACATGGACGGAGCATAAAGCAGAGACAGAGATGAGTTGAGAGATTGCTCACGGGTAGGATCATGCGATTGGGGCGGACCCGGGACGAAGTCTGGCCATCGATCACCAGGTGCGTGGCGCGCGATGCGTTCACCACGGGGCAAACTGTGTTACCCCGCGTGCACATTACTGTACTTACCTCGAACGAAAAGACGATTACGTCATAAAATGTTTTTCAAACGGTTTAAAATCGGAGAGAAGACTTTGTGACCAATTCTAGAGCGCACGTGGAAACCCGCTCCTTTTTCTGTGATAATAAAACAATAACTATAGATAAAGTGGTGAAATATATTCGATAATCCCCACACGATCAAATCCTGTGCTGCCCTCTGGTTTCGATCATTAGCTTTCACCGTTTTTCGCCCCAAAAGGGCGGTG